TGCCAACTAAGCTATTCAGTGAGTATGTAGTTGTATTTATTGTGTTTTCAAATTGCATTTTCTTGATTGCTAGTAAGATTGAGCACCTTTTCATATACTGGCCAGTTGAATATCCTCTTCTGTAGAAAGTTCCTTTTCAGATCTTTTACTCATTTTTGTATGTGACTGTCTTTTCTTAATTGATTTATAAGTATTCTTTGTATATTCAGGATAAGAATTCTTTTATCCGTTATGTTCTAACAACTTTCTCCTACTCTGGCTTGCCTTTTCACTCTTAATGGTATCTTTTTATGAGTACACATTCTCAGTTGTAAGATTGGTCCCACTATTAATCTTTTCCTTTATCAATAGTGATTTCTGTACTTTGTTTAAGTATCTTCTAAAAGCTTTATTGTTTTGTCTTTCACATTTACACCTATAGTCCTCCTGGAATTAATTTTTGTATATACTGTGAGGAAAGGGTCAAGTTTCATTTTCCAGCCTATATGGAGATCCACTTGACCCAGTGTTATTTACTGGCATGAGTCTTGTTTCGCTGGATCTCTAAAGTACTGCTTTTGGTCTGTATATGAGTGTGTTTATTTTCTGGATTCTCTTTTCAGTTCCATGGTTCTTAATTGTCTATCTTTGTCTTAATTACTATAGTTTCATAGTAAGTCTCTTGATATCTAGTAGGGCAAGTATGCCTACCTTTTTCCTCTTGTTCAAGAGGGTTTTACTTATTCTTGACTTTTTATTTTTCTGTATCAGTTAGAATAAATGTACCACATTCCATGCAATGAACACATGTATGCATACTCACATACAAAGTGTTGGAATTTTTTCCATATTGCATTCAGTCAAGGTGAAAGTGGTTTATTTTCATTGAGTCTTCAATCTGTGAACACAGTATATTTACCTAATTATTTAGGTCCTTAATTTTTCTCAACAACATTTGCTAGTTTTATGTGCAGACATCTTGAACATTGTTTTGTCATTTTAATTACTGGTGTGTGTGTGTGTGTGTGTATATATATATATATATATAATTTAGTGCTCTTATAATGATCTTTTAAAGTCATTTTTTTTTCCTTTTTTGTTGCTAGGGTATAGTAATATAGTTGATTTTGTGTGTTGGTCTATATCCATCAACCTTGTGCTCTCTATTCTAATCAGCTGTCTATATATTTTGGGGGTTTTTATATACACAATCATATTGCCTGTGAATGATAGTTCTATTTTTAATCTTTATCTTGTCTTACTGAACTGAGCAGGATTGCAATATAAAATAAAAGTTGTGAGAATAGACATCCTTGTTTATTTTGTTCCTTATCTGAAAAGGAAAGCTTTCAGTATTTCAACATTGAATATGATGGGGTAGTTTTTAAATTTTTGGTATATGCCTGTTGCACTTACTATGGCAACATAATCCATTAAAAATTTAATGGCATAAAGCAACCATTTATTATGGTCATAGTTCTGTGGATTAGGAATTTAGATAGGTCACACCATTGGAAGACTTTGTCTCTGCTCTGTGTTGTCTGAAGCCTTGACTGCAAGATGCAAAGGCGTAGGGAAGGAACCATCTGAAGGCTCATTTACTCATATGTCTGATTGTTGATGCTGGCTATTTGCCGGGAGCCTCCTTTCCTGTCTATCTGAATCCTTCCAGGTGGTCTACCATATGGGCTAGTGTGAGCTGCTTCACAGTATGGTAGCTGGTTTCTCCTAAAGCAAGCATTCCCAAGGCAGAGAAAGCCAGGTAGAAGCTGTATCCTTTTTACAGCCTCATCTCAGAAGTCATAAAAGCATTTCTTTTGCCATATTTGGGTTGGAGTAGTTACAGACCCCACCCAGACACAAGAGAAGGGAATGCAGACTCTTCTTTTGGGTGAAAGGAGTATCTGTCAGTCATTGTAAGAACAACATATCTATGTTAATGTATGTGTATGTCTAGCTAGCAAGAGTGAGAGACACAGAAAATATGATCTGCTACAGTGCCTTTTTAAATCGGATTAAGAATGTTCCCTTCTATTTAGTGTTTTTGTTTTGATGGGTATTAAATTTCCTGAAATGCTTTCTGCTGAACTGAATGATTTTACTTTCTCTTAAGTGATAAATTTCTTTGATTTCAATAAATTCAACTTAGTTATGATTTATCTTTCTCATATGTTAATGCTTTTTTTTGCATTTTTAAAATTTTTGCATTATTTTTTATTTTTGCATTATTTTTGCATTAACCTACCATATACCTAATATAGTGTTGGGTATATGGTAGAAGCTTGGAAAATAATCTTTTTTTCTGTGTCTCAGTTCCTTATCCAACAATATCAAATCCTTTGACTACAACATGTTGCTGATTTATTAAAAAATACTCCTTATTGTGGAAATAGGAAAGGTTTTCTGAAGATGTAAACATACCTGTCCTCGCCTAGAACTCTGACTAGTCCCTTACTTTCTCTCTGAAGTATGTTTCTATTCTTTATTGTAGATCTGTATCATATCTATCAGCTTGAGAACCATTACTATGGATAAGCAAAGATCTCAAATCAAAAAGTACCATGAAGGACGCCTGGGTGACTCAGTCGGTTAAGCCACTCCCTTCAGCTCAGGTCATGATCCTAGAGTCCTGGGATCGAGTTCTGCATTGGGCTTCTTGTCCAGCAAGGAGCCTGCTTCTCTCTCTGCCTCTGCCTGCCACTCTGCCTACTTGTGCTTGCTTGCTCTCTCTCCCTCTCTCTCTCTCTCTGACAAATAAATAAATAAATAATCTTTTAAAAAAAAATCTTAAAAAAATAAAGTACCATGACATGCTGAATTCTCCCAATTTGGCAGTAAATAAAAATTTAAAGTTATCTTCCTTATTTTCTCCTTCTTATTCTCTTTCTGTACCATGGAGAAATAGAGTCATAAAATTAATGCACCACTGATTATGGAGAAGACTGTCTCTGCCTTATTAATAAAAATTACTTTGTTAGTAAACCTTTCCTATCCTTTGAGAAGATGTACCTTAATATTTAATAAATCTCACTGGATTATTCTTTCAGGTAGTTTATTAATGTACACTTACCTTCAAAATATATAAAAGTTACGATGCCAACATTTGGTATTGCCAGAATTTATAGTGTTTGTTTATTTAAGGGATATGAAATCATAGCTTGTGATTTTAATTTGTGCTTTCTTTTTTTTTTTTTTTTTTTAAAGATTTTATTTATTTTATTTGACAGACAGAGATCACAAGTAGGCAGAGAGGCAGGCAGAGAGAGAGAGGAGGAAGCAGGCTCCCCGCTGAGCAGAGAGCCCGATGCGGGGCTCGATCCCAGGACTCTGGGATCATGACCCGAGCCGAAGGCAGAGGCTTTAACCCACTGAGCCACCCAGGCGCCCCTAATTTGTGCTTTCTTTAAAAACATTTATTTTGAGAGAGAGCATGTACACATGAGTGAGGCTGGGGCAGAGGGAGAGAGAATTCCAAGCAGCATGGAGCCAACACAGGACTCTGTCTCAAAATCCCAAGAGATCATGATCTGAGTCAAATCAAGAATTGGACATTTAACCAACTGAGTCACGCAGGTGCCCCTTAACTTGTGTTTTTGTTTTTGTTTTTTTTTTTTAAGATTTTTATTTATTTATTTGACACAGAGAGAGAGAGATCACAAGTAGGCAGAGAGGCAGGCAGCGGGGTGGGGGAAGCAGGTTCCCTGCTGAGCAGAGAGCCCAACGCAGGCCTGGATCCCAGGACCCTGGGATCCTGATCCAAGCCAAAGGCAGAGACTTAACCCACTGAGCCACCCAGACGCCCTTAACTTGTATTTTTAATTGCTAGTAACGTAGATCCATCCTCCCTCATTCCCTACAAACAAGCTTGCTTATTCAACATCTTTCCATTTTTCAGGTCGACATCTTTCCTTATTGATATTTATATATTTCTTGTGTGTGTTGCAGTATCTTTTTCCAAGTTGTGCCTTTAAAAAATTTTTCCTTTTTCAAATGGGAAGAACTAAATTGAATTTGTGTCCTTGGAATTTAACATAGTGCCTGACAAAGTAGTCAATCATTCAGTAAAAAGTAGAATGAATAAATATTTTGCAGCAAGCTAAAAATTTGGTGTTTTTAAAGCAATGATGCTACCTACTTTTAAAAATAGACTAAAAGTATCATATACTTAGAGCTTATTTAAATTTTAATACGTAGCTTACAATCATATCGTTTTGGTTAATTTTATTATTTAGAAGTTATATTTTTTGCCTAATGGTTTATAGGTTTATATAGCTGTCCAGTTGCATTGCTTTAGAAAGATTCTCATCGGTATTTTTTTCAAATTGCTTGTTCCACAGACCAAACTTTCATTTTTCCCCCTCCCATTAAAAATTGACTGACTTCCTTTTTTGGGGTCCCACTATTTTCTATATAAACCTATCAGGGCAAGTGTTATATTATACTTTATTGTATTTGTTTACATTTCTTGCTCCCCCATTCTTCCATGCTTTTTAGGTTTGGAGACCATCTTATTCAAATGCCAAAACGAACAACATATAATTAGAAGTTCACTAAATGTTAGAAGTGATTATCAAATAAATTATATATATATATATATATATATATATATATATATATATTTTAAGATTTTATTTATTTGACACAGAAAGAGAGAAATCACAAGTAGGCAGAGAGGCAGGCAGAGAGAGGGGGAAGCAGGCTCCCTACTCAGCAGAGCCTGATGCGGGACTCGATCCTAGGACCCTGAGATCACGACCTGAGCTGAAGGCAGAGACCCAACCCACTGAGCCACCCAGGCACCCCTAAATAATATGTATCTTTGTGTTGTTTTGAATATTTTCTGCTAATTATAACTTAGTCTTTTTAACTTTCTGTTGATGAGATGGAACTGGGTGAATTAGTGATTAATGAAATAATGTAGCATCTCTTTTATTGCTTTTCAGAGACTTTCAAGTAAATCTTTACTGCTTAGGTACCTGACCCTGCAAATCTTACTGATCATTAAGAATTTAAGCAATATAGTACTCGCTTCAGCAGCACATATAATACTAAAATTGGAACGGTACAGAGAAGATTAGCATGGCCCCTGTGCAAGGATCACATGGAGATTCGTGAAGCATTCCATAGAAGAAGAAAGGGAGAGAGAGAGAAAAAGAAAGAAAGAATTTAGGCAGTCTAGGTGTGGGTTTACCAGGCCCTTATTTTAGAATATTACTAATGATTTTAATAATAGCTGACATTTATAAGACTCACTATTTTGCTATCATTTTTAAATGCTTTTTAATGATTTAGCTAATTAAATTCTGTATGGTTTTCTGTGTTAGGTGCTCTTAGCGTCATCTTAAAGATGAAGAAACTGAGGTGTGGAGAAGTTAAGAAATTTGACCAGAGTTGTACAGTTAGTAAATGGTGAAGCCAGTGTTTGAATCCAGGTAGTCTAAATCCAGTACTCTCTCTCTCTCTCTCTCTCTCTCTATATATATATATATATTTTTTTTTTTTTTTTAAGATTTTAATTTATTTGAGAGAGCACAAGCTGGAATGGGGGACAAAGGGAGAGGGAAAAACAGATTACCTGCTGAGCGTGGAGCCCAATGAGGGTTTCAGTCCCAGGACCCTGAACTGAGATCATGACCTGAGCCACCCAGGCACCCCCAGCCCTATATTCTTAACCATTATTTGCATATTAAATAAGTTTTTAGTTACATATGAACTTCATATTCCAAGAACAATATTGTTAATGAAGATTTAGATGGAGAATTTTTTTAAAATAATATTTTATTTATTTATTTGACAGAGAGAGAGAGATCACAAGTAGGCAGAGGCAGGCAGAGACGGGGGGCGGGGAACAAGGCTCCCCACTGAGCAGAGAGCCCGATTCGGGGCTCGATCCCACGACCCTGAGATCATGACCCGAGCTGAAGGCAGAGGCTTAACCACACCATATTCCCAGATGGAGAATATTTTTCTTAAAGCAAGACAGATATAATATTTTCTACCAAGGGCTGATGATTTATCAGGAGGCGTAGGTGGCAGGGGGAAGAGGGAGAAAGTAAATGTGGATGAGTGAGTTTAGGACTAAATACACAAAGAAAGCACTGAGTTAGTCTGAGTATTCAGGGAGGGAAATCAAGTAGGTTTTGTTTTGTTTTATGAGAGATATAGACATTTTAGCTTATTTACTCATAAAAGGAAAATTCTAGTGAAATAAGGTTGTCTGGAGTCCTGGGTTGAGGCCTTGCAGTGCAAAAATATCTAACCTCTTGATTGGGCTAAATCTCTAAAACTGTGAGAGCAGTAACAAAAATATACTTTGTTTGGGGCATATTGTGGCAAAGAGGGGAAGAAAGGCAGGGAAAGAGAGCGAGACAGAGAATCTCCAAAGTTAGCTACAAAAGAGGAAAAGGGGATAGTCAGAGTAAGAAGAAACCAAAAGAAGAAATGTTTAGGGTAATGAGAGATAACCCATCTTTTCTCTCATTTCTATCATTTTCAGTCATTGACCAAGATTGTTTCTTCCAGATTCTCTTTCTAGCCCCATGAACCTTCTCAGGTGGGGATTCTGTTCTTCTAAAGCATCCCAATACTCTGCATGTCACTAAGGTAAAAGAGGTTTCTTTTTCACCCCTTGTTTTATCCTGTCTTTGCTGCTGATTCTACATTGTGTCGACAATAAATCAACCAGTATTTGGAGGGTTACCACTGCTTGTGGTGCTTTACAGGTATAGAGGGAAATGAAAAAGAAATAGCTTCTCTCATAGAGGACTTTGCAGTCTAGTTAGGAATATAGAATGTAACTTTATTAAAAGATATTAACAATATCCTGTGCTATGATGTATCAGATGGTATAAACTTTCCATACTCATCTCTACAATTCTTTAACCAGCTCTTTCCAGCAAGTGACCTTTTCTACTTTATTAGATTAAAACTGTAGGTATAGAGCAAACATCTGTGCCTGCTTTCATCTTCTTCCCTTCCTTCTTAGATAAAACAGTGGTTCCTTTTTAAGGCTCATTCTTTGGGCTGTATTTTCTTTTTCTTTTTTAAGGTTTTATTTATTTAAGTGGGGCATCTGGGTTGGCTCAGTGGGTTAAGCTTCTGACTCTTGATCTCAGCACAGGTCTTGATCTCAGTCATGAGTTCAAACCCTACATTGGGCTCCACTTTTTTAAAAAAAATAGTTTCTTCTTTTCTTTTCTTTCTTTCTTTTTTTTTTTCTTTAAGATTTTACTTATTTGACACACAGAGAGAGAAAGAGTGAGAGAAGGAATATAAGCAGGGGGGAAATGGGAGAGGGAGAAGCAGGCTTCCCGCCAAGCAGAGAGCCTGATTCGGGGCTCCATCCCACAGCTAAAGGCAGATGCTAAATGACTGAGCCATCCAGGACCCCCCAAAATAAAGTAAGTAATCTCTGCATCCCCTGTGGGGCTTGAACTCACAACCCTGAGATCAAGAGCCATGTGCTCTTCTGACTGAGCCAGCCAGGTGCCTCTGGGTTGTATTTTATATTTTAGTCCTTCACATCTTCTCTAACACTAGAGTTTTGCTGTGTGCCCTTTCATATTAGTACAGATCACTCTGTTGTTGATTCTTCTCTAAATCCTAAAAATACACTGCCTTAATACCTTTAACAAAACTCCATCATTGGTCTTGCACAACACAGTCCCCATTCCTCATCGATTTATTCCTCCCTTTCATCTTCAACCAAAATTTGTTAAAAGCTTTACCTCCTAGTTACAGTTCAGTGCATCAGTCTTCCTTCTGTCTCATCACTCCACTGAAACTTCTCTGCTTAAAAGTCCCCTAATAATTACCAAATCCAGTGGATTATTTTCAGTCTTTGTCTTTTGATGTCTTTGCAGTCTTTGACATTATGTTCCTTCCTGTATCTGTGGACGTCCTCCCTTTTTAAAATTCTTTAAAAATTTAAATTCAGCTAATTAACATATAATGCATTATTGGTTTCTGAGGTAGAGGTCAGTAATTCATCAATCTTATATAATACCCAGTGCTCATTACATAATGTGCCCTCCTTAATGTCTATTCCCCAGTTACCCTATCCCTCCACCCTTCTCCCCTCTAGCAACCCTCAGTTTGTTTCCTATAATTGAGCATCTCTTAAGGTTTGTCTTCCTCTCTGATTTCGTCTTTTTTAATTTTTTCCTCTCTTTCCCTATGATCCTCTGCTTTGTTTCTTAAATTCCACATATGAGTGAGATCGTATGATACTTGTCTTTCTCTGATTGGCTTATTTCGCTTAGCATAATACCCTCTAAGTTCATCTATTTTCAACTTTGAGGAACTTCCATACTGTTTTCCAGAGTGGCTGCACCAGCTTGCATTCCCACCAGCAGTGTAAGAGGGTTCCCCTTTCTCTGCATCCTCGCCAGCATCTATCATTTCCTGACTTGTTAATTTTAGCCATTCTGACTGGTGTGAGGTGTTATCTCATTGTGGTTTTGATTTGTATTTCCCTGATTTCAAGTGATGTTGAGCATTTTTTCTTGTGTCTCTGGGCCATTTTTATGTCATCTTTGGAGAAATGTCTGTTCATGTCTGACTACCTTCCTGACAGTTTTTATCCTGTATTCTCTGCAGGTTCCTTTTTCTCTGGCTGCACATAAAATACCTTGGCCCTATTTTCTTATCACTCCAAATCTCAATCCTTACAACTCTGGCTAGCAATTATATTCTAATATAGTTCCCAAATGTATACCTCATAGTTTAGGCCTCTTTTTTTTTTTTTAATAAGATTTATTTATTTTAGAAAGAAAGGGTGAGCAGGGTGAGGGGCAAGGGGGAGAGAGAGAATCCTCATAATCCCCACTGAGTGTGGCGCCCATGCAGTGCTTGATCCCAGGACCCTGACATTACAACTTAAGCCGAAATCAGGAGTCGGTTGCTTAACGGACTTAGCCACCCAAGAACCCCTTGAGACCTCTGTCTTAAGACCAGGATCTAGTTATACTTTTGTTACAGCGACCTCAAACTCAGACCCTGAAGTCAAACCTCCAAAACCTACTCATCATTCTACTTGCTCATTCCCCATCTTGTTGCTTTTTCTTTAATCCCTGTCTCACGGTTACCTTAAACATTTACTCTTTTGTCCAATTAGAACCACAGAGATCATCCTATTTTTATTTTATTTTTTTAAAAGATTTTATTTATTTATTTGATAGAGATCACAAGTAGGCACAGAGAGAGAGGAGGAAGCAGGCTCCCCACAGAGCAGAGAGCTCGATGTGGGGCCGATCCCAGGACCTTGGGATCATGACCCAAGCCGAAGGCAGAGGCTTTAACCCACTGAGCCACCCAGGTCCCTCTTTATTTCATTTTTAAAAAGATTTTTATTTATTTATTTGAGAGAGTGTGTGTGAGCCAGGTGAGGGGCAGAGAGAGAATCCCAGGCAGACTCTGGGCTGAGTTTGGAGTCAAACAGGGGGTTTGATCCCAGAACCCTGAAATCATGACCTGAGCCAAAATCAAGAGTCAGACACTCAACTGATTGAACCACCCAGGCACCCAGGATCATCCTATTTTTTAATCCCCCATCTAATCAAGGACCATATTCCATCAATTCTCTGTCTTTCTTAAATCTGTCCTTTCATTTCTTTTTTTTTTTTTTTTTTAATTTTATTTATTTGGCAGACAGAGATCACAAGTAGGCAGAGTGGCAGGCAGAGAGAGAGGAGGAAGCAGGTTCCATGCTGAGCACAGAGCCCGATGCGGGGCTCGATCCCAGGACCCTGAGATCATGACCTGAGCCGAAGGCAGAGGCATAACCCACTGAGCCACCCAGGCGCCCCTGTCCTTTCATTTCCAATTTCTAGTGGGAAGGTTGGTAAAATTTTTATTTGTCTCAGCATGTTGAAAATATTCTTTGTATACTTGAATAAATGAATAGGCTGTTGGAAAAGATACTTGACTGTAATAGTAAAGAGAGAAGATGATTCTTGAGCATAGAAACTAAACTGAGATTAGAAACTATTTTTTCTGGCCTCCAATGAGATTTTGATTTGAGAAGAAAGGAATGCCCAAGGTATATAATCTATAAATTAGTAGTGATCTGCAAGTGGGAGGTGGTGAAAAGAAGCCCCAAACACTGATGTATAAGAGGAGCCTTTTGGTTTT